CCGTTAGAGAGATGCAAATCAAAACAACCATGAGATACCATCTCACACCAGCATGGAATAGCAAAGTTCTGCAAGACAGAAAATAACAAATGGTCACAAGAATGTAGAGAGTCTGGGACTCTCATACACTGCTGGTGGGACTGTAAAATGATGTGACCGCTGTGGAAATCAGTATAGCGATTCCTTAAAAAGTTGGAAATAGAAGTAAATTTGATCTAGCAACCTGTTACTAGGTATATATACTAAAGAAGTGAGAGGCAGGATACAAATAGATATATGCACACTCATGTTCACTGCAGCACTGTTCACAATAGCAAAGAGATGGAAGCAACCTAAGTGCCCATCGCCTGAGGAATGGATAAACAAACTGAGGTACATACACAGAATGTAATACATGCAACCCTAAAGAATAATGTAGAATCTGCAAAACACCACATAATGTGGATGGATTTGGAAGACATTATACTGAGTGAAATAAGTTAATTATAGAAGGACAAATATTGTATTAGCCCACTACTGTAAAAAGTCAAGAAAAGGTGTATACATGGAGGGAAACTTTCTTTGTTGGTTATCGGTGAGGGGGGAGGAGAGGGAAAAATTCCAAGATAGGTTGGGGGGAGAATAATTAAATAAATAAATACAGATATATAACAAAAACTTTCCCTTTCCCTCTCCTACCTCTGGTAACCATTAATAATCTTTGGTTATATATATATATTTGTTGTTGTTGTTATGTGCTGTCAAGTCGGACCCAACTCATAGCGACCCCTCCTTGGGTTTCCGAGGCGGTATCACTACGGAAGTAAATTGGCCAACCTTCCTTCTGAGGAGTGGCTGGTGGTTTGAACTGCCATCCTTCTGGTTAGCAGTCAAATGCCTTAGGCACTATGCCAGCAGAGCTCCCATATATATATCTCCTGTGGATCAGAACAATCTGATCCATTGTGCATGGGATCTCCATGAGTCAGGGTCTGCCTTAAGAATGGCTAACAGCAACAAGAAGTATAAACATAACATCTTTGTGCACTTTGATCCAAGAGCAGGAAAATATTTTTAAGTGTTTTCCCTGTTTTTATTGACAGGAATTAATTTAACTACCAAATTTGAGGTCATGATGTCTCCCTTTGTTTTAAATTAGGTTGTTGCATCTACCTTTATCCCTAACCACCTTGAAGCTGAAGGCTCTTTGGTTATCTGACAACCAGTCCCAGCCTCTGCTCACGTTCCAGACGGACACAGACCACACTACAGGGGAGAAGATTTTAACCTGTGTCTTACTTCCTCAGCTGCCTTCTGAACCTACTTGCCAAGGTGAATTTAATAGAAGGACAGTAATCATGTAGCCTTGGGAATGAGTGGAGACTGATGTCTACCCATAAAGCCACTTATTCTCCCACATGTGAATTTGATTGTATTTTGTTTACTCTGTCAGCCCAGGTGAGGTCATTGTGGGACAACCTGGGGAAGTTTCCCCTGCACCCTTGCAGGAAAAGTACCTCTTACTCTTGTTTATAGGAGCTCTGGTAGCATAGTGCCTAAGTTCCTAAAAAGGTAAGAGTCACTTAAAATCCACACTTACAGTATGAGGATTTGTAGTTAACGACACTGGCATACTGTTTTTAAGTCAGTGAGTTATTGCTTTGACTTATGGCATCTCTGTTTTATAAATTATGTATGGTTTTAGGAAATATCCATGCTAGCATCAAAATACTATTACGGTTCCCAAGCTGAGAGCTGGGTTTGATGGAAGAGAATCAGAGTACTGTCAGAGATTGGGAACTCAAATTGGGAAGGCTCCAAAACTCACTTGCCAATCCCAGCTTTGTTAGCTGAGTTTTTAAGACCCTAAAAGAGAAATATGGTAGAAGGTATTACTAAAGAAAGTACTAGTATCCAACATGAGGCACATTGGTGGTTCATTGGTATAATTCTCACCTTCCATGCTTGAAAAGAGCCAGGTTTGAGTCCCAACCAGTGCATTTCATGAAGTTATCCCCCATCTGTTCTTGGGTTTGTGTACTGCTATGATGCTGAATGGGTTTCAGTGGGCATTCCAGAGTAAGATGGACAAAGAAGAAAGACCAGACAAACTACTTCAGAAAATCAGTCAGTGAAAATCCTGTGGATGACTGTGGTTCAATCTGCAGCTGATCATGGGGATGGGTAGGATCAGGCAGCATTTTGTTTAGTTATTCATGGGGTCACTTTGAGTTAGGGGCCAACTTGGCAGCAGCTAACAACAGCAGCTGACAATAGTATTCAACAGGTGCAGCCACATCACTGTCATGAGAAAGTTTTTAAAGTTAGTCTATAAAAGCGAATTAGGAAAAGGGATTCTGTAAGTGATCAAGAAAGGAGCTCTGTTGGTGCAGTGATTAAGACATTTGGCTGCTACCAGAAGATTGGTGGTTTGAACCCAACAGCTGCTTCACAGAAGAAAGATGAACAATCTGTTTCTGTAAAGATTTACAGCCTTGGAAACCCTATGAGGGTCACTATGGGTCAGAATCAACACAATGGGAGTGAATTTGGTTTGGTTTTGGAAGTGATGAAGATATTCTATGATGAAATGTTGTTGTTGTTGTTGTTGTGTGCCGTCAAGTCAGCCCCGACTCATAGCGACCCCTCCTTGGGTTTCCGAGGCAGTATCACTACGGAAGTAGGATTGCCCAACCTTCCTTCCGAGGAGCGGCTGGTGGGTTTGAACCGCCAGCCTTCTGGTTAGCAGTCAAGTGCCTTAGCCACTATGCTACCAGAGCTCCTTATGATGAAATAGTAGGCATAAATTTAGGAGATATTTTACATGATCCCAAATAAAATTATGCGTCATTTTTAAAAAGGGGTATCCAAGGCCTTTTTTTTTTTTGTCTGCAAAACAATGGTTACCATTTTAACTATTTTTCAGTGTACAGTTCAGTGATTTAATTACTTTCACCTTGTCGTGCAACTATCAGCACTGTCCATTTACAAATGGTTTTTTATCTCCCTAACCATATGTGTTAGTATCCCTTAAATAATGGTTAAAGGGTTCATTGTTTTGTTTGTTTGTTTTTAAAGCCAAGGCTTAGAGGTAGGAATAATTAATTTGCCCTCCTTATTTCAGTTGTTGTACCTCTGCTTATATATTCTCCATAAGACCAGTTGCCATCAAGGGGATTTCAATTCATGACAACCCCATGTGTGTTGTAGTAGAACTGTGCCCCATAGGGTTTTCAGTGGCAGAAGGAGATCGCCACACCTTTCTTCCAAGTCCCCTCTAGGTGGACTTGAACCACCAACTTTTTGGTTAGCAGCAGAACACATTAACTGCTTGTACCACCTGAAGATTCAGTTATTCTGCCTAGTTGGCCATCAGATTGATAACATCGTGGTTGCCAGATGTGTGAACCAGAGTTCCCTGTTGATGTGTCCTTTGTCCCAACAGAGAATCTTCCACGCTGTGGTGCGCTGGAGAACTTGGTAAATGATGTCTCCGATGAAGCCTGGAATGAGAGTGCAGTAAACAGAGTCAGTGCAATCCGATTTTTGGATGATGAAATAGATGAAGACGAAAATGAAACGGTATGGAAATGGATATTCTTTTCTTTCATGGGAGTTGAATTTTAAAAGCTTTCCAAATATTGAGAATGGTACCTAGTAAGGAATCCTTTTATTTTAAAATAGTATATTCTCTGTTTTGTCTTCAGTATTTAGAATTCATTTAGAAGACAAAACTAGGTACTTGTAGGTACTGATTCTCAAAATGTAAATAAGGAAAATAGGGCTTTAGAGGTTTTTGTTTGTTTGGATAGTTTATGGTGCTTTCTGTTTCTCTCTTTGTGTGTGTGTGTGTTTGTAATAGCTCCCTCTCCTCCACCCCCACTGTTTTCTTGAAATCAGTTGGGAACTTTCTATATTTTGTTGTTCCCAGTGAATTAAGTCTCTTCCCACCCACCCTATCCTACCCTATTTATGGCTGCCCCATGCAGTAGATCTCTGTTGACTCCATTCACATTTCATCACGTGTGACTTGCTTTCCCTTCTGATGTACCAGACTTCTCTCTTTTCATAAGACCAGGTCACCTTTATCTTCACATAGAGTTCTTGTGATTCTGGTGGGACAGCCTTAGGGGTATTATTTAGAAATTAGGAACAGATATGAAAATATCTCTCACCCTTACTCTCATCTATACTTGAATGGGTATCAGCTACTATCAGTAGAATGCCCATCTGACCTTCGTTTTGTCCTATGATGGGGTAAGGGAGATGTCTCCAAGACTCTGTGGCAACTCTGAAATTTTCCTGTAAGTTGACTTGGGCTTCTTAAATTCCTGGCACTAATTGAGATTTTCATAAACAGAGCCTAGAGGGAGTACTTGCTGCCCCAAAACCAAAGGGCAGCTTTTACATTGTTACCTATAGTCTTTGTTATTTCTGCCTGTCACCGAATGATATTTCACTTATTTGCAGTAGTCAACTACTTCAATAATTACTTCAAATAACTTCAAAATAAAGGACTCTTTAATGTTTACCTCAGGACTTGTTAGTGTCTGATTATTTTACCAGTTACTTCGTTGCCTCAGTAGTGCTCTTTCAGGATTTTGTTTCCCTTGCTTGGCTCTTCCTGAAACCCGTGGACAGGCCATTTAAAAGATAAAAATGCTATTTTATGAACTGAAGAGCTTACAAATTATTAAAAACGGAATTTTTTTCAAAAAGTTGCCCATACCCCCTAACTTCATTTCCAGCACTGTGGACTTATTAGAAGAATGTGAACTTTCATCAGTAGGCCATATAAATAGCCCACACAGCAGCAAAGTAAGAAAAGAAGTCCTTCTCTCCTTGCTTCAATTTTTCTTTAACTCCTATGCCTCAGGGGTTGAAGGAAACCAGAACTACTTTTGGGTTATAGTAGCGCATTATAGTGATACTATTTTTTTTTTTTTTTAACCCTTTACCCTTTTCTTCCTCTACACCCTACAATTTATTTTAAAATTCATTTCTTTTTTTCTTACTGTTCATGGAATTTTATTTTTATCTTACTCTAATCCATTTTTTAAATAAAACCAAAACCAAACCCACTGCCATCCAGTCGATTCTGACTCAAAGTAACAAAGGATGGAGAAGAACTGCCTCATAGGTTTTTTAAGGTTGTGATGTTTACAGAAGCAGACTGCCCCATCTTTCTCCCATGGAGCGGCTCGTGGTTTCAAACTGCTGACCTTTGGCTTAGCAGCCAAGTACTTAACTACTGTGTCACCAGGGCTTATATTTTTTTAAATACTATTATTTTATTTTAAAAGTATTCTTGCAATCTTGACTAGCCGAATTTTATGAAGTGCTTTTATATTCCATTAACTACTAGTAAACAATTAATAAATGCACATAGCTCCAAAGAGTTTTTTTTACTGACTTATAACCTGTAAGGAGGAGCTTTGCATTGGAATGCTAGTGCCTCAAAGCTACACATTTGAAAGAGTAATGGGATAATACCACTCACTCCACTGTTTGTTTTCAGAGAACACTCCTAAGGCGAGCCACTCCACATCCAGGGGAGTTAAAGAACATGAAAAAGACAGTGGAGAATTTACGGAATGACATGAACACTGCTAAAGGGCTGGATTCCAACAAAAACGAGGTCAATCATGCCATTGACCGAGTGACCACTTCTGTGTAGTGTTTCACCTCCGAGTTGTACCTCTTGTGTCTTCCCCTGCTGTGGAGATGTTCCCATCTGCTTCTGAGGAGCCCCATGAAGTCCTTTGTCTTAACCAGAACCTGGCGCATCATCTCTTCAAGTGGCCTGTTGGGATGCTGCTCTCTCAAAGGAAGTGCCTTACTCTAATCCATCAACCAGTCTGCACCAGTGATCTCCTGGCCTGATTTTTTTTTTTTTTAATTTTGGTTGTTTGTAATAAGTAGAATACACTACTGTAAACATCTGACCTTTGTTTCTGTTTTATATTGGGGAAAGGGAGAGCAGGAAGGGGAATTTTTATCCTCCTCCCCTCCATAAGTGCTGAAACATTTTGGGCCCAAGTTTTCTTGGATGACAGAGTTTTATGTATGAGGGTAAAAACTGATACTTTTTTAAACTCTTTTTGTGGCAGCTCAGATGGTGTAAATTTTAAAAATTTTGTATAGATATTTCATAACAAAAAATATGTATTTCTTTTTTGTCGTTATTTTACCATGGAAACGGTACGTATTTTAGTATTTGTGGGGGAGGGGGCAGAAAACAGTCCTAAAGTATTTGTTTTTATTTGTACCATCCACTGTGCCTTACTGTAACCTGTATCATGTCAAACCAATTGTAAACAGTGGCATCCATGAGCAGTGAGACAAGAATAGGAATGTGGTACTTTTAAAACAGTGTTGGATTTTAATTAGGAATCTACCTGATGAGTTTGTTTTTACCAAAAAGAAGAATCACCACTGATCTGTAAATTATATCAATTGATTTTTTTGTTTTTAAAAGTTGAACCAAAGGATTCATGTCATTTCTTACTTCTATGTCATTTCTTACACTTTAGCTTTTCATGAGTAAGTCTCTTGTGAGTGCACCCACTCCAAAGGTATGTGCCATTTGTAAAATAAAATAGAGCAGAAAAGCACAAAAACAGAAAACTGGTTCAGAAATCCAGTGGGTAAATAAATTATGTACTGCAAAGGAAAGTATGATTCTTACCGAAGAAAGCTTTACAAGTTTTATATGCAGATATAAAACTATAATAAAGCAAAGTAACGTACAACCATAATAGAAATGTTGGTATCTTTATAAGTGTAATTTTAATTTGTAAATAGAGTTTGAATCAAAGTATAACAAAATATTGTTTCAAGATTTAATTTTAAATCTGCTAATTTAAGGGTTATAGGGGTATGCTTTGGTGTGTTTCTGTTGATTTTTTTTTTGTATGATGTGATAAAAGAGAAATGAAAAGTGCTAGTCACTACATGGTGTCTAGGGAAATCATGTCATTTTATTTTTTTCTCCATGAAATAAACTCAGCCTGGACATCAGCCATACAACTTTTCAAAATTAATTATTACTATGTGTATACAGGAGTCCCTGGGGGGCGCAAATAGTTGAGCGCTCAGCTAGTGACTAAAAAGGTTGGCAGTTTGAATCGACCCAGAGGCGCCTTTGAAGAAAGTCCTAGCAATCTACTTCTGAAAGGTTGCAGCCATTGAAACCCCTGTGGAACAGTTCTATTCTGAAACACATGATATAGCCATGAGTCTGAATCAACTCCATGGCAACTAGTATATCTGTGTACAAATGATAGCAGGAATAGCTAACTCCTTTGACATTGTGTTCCCTTCTATTAAATATCTACTGGTCAGTTTTTAGTTTATCTTCTGTGCGGCTTACATTGACTCAGCATTCTCACACATCAGAATTGCCTTCAATTCTGGTACATATATTTGGGCTGTGGCTATCTGGCCAACTGGGTTCCTTTAAAAACAATTTTCAGTTAACCAAATATAATACTTTGTTCTACTTCTGTACATTGACTTACTATTGGGTTCACTTTGCTTTTAAGGTTGTGTGTGTATGTACATGATTTTTAAAACTATTGAGTTGAAATCACGCGGCACATGAGCAGGTTTCACCTAGTCAGTTTTATATCTTGCGCCCTAGAAAGCTTCCTTAATCTGTGGGTACCCATTTTCTTTTCTCCCTTTTAAGTTGTGAGTATACTCTGATTTGTTTTAAGCCTGTAAAGATGATGCCACTGACTCATGGAGTAATATAGATAAGCAAATTGGTTTTACTTAAGGAAGTTATCTTGACATCAAAGAACAAATAGAACTTGCATAATGTTTTTTGTTTATTTTTATTTAAAGCCTACTCTTTACTACTCAGTTTGCCATGGATTCAGTGGAATAGAGAGGGACAGACCCGTCTTTGGTTGTGTGTGTGTTTGAATTTTTGTAGGAAATTTTATGACCTCATTGTTTCCTTTGGGTTACTTCTTTTACTTCACACACACACCCCTGGTTTTTGTTTGTTTATTGTTTTTGTTTTTTGTTTTCTGTGTGAGGATGTGTGTTTGTTTTCTTCTTCTTTGTGGGGGGAGAAGTTACTGTCATCATAAGCTCTTATGCTCTGTGACACTGAGATGCTCTTTAACATCAGGAGGCTAATAACAAACTTAGGCTTCAGAATGGAAAGAGCAGAATCAATCCCAACTTGAGAACTTACCAAGCCTTTATGATGAGGCCTCTTTTATAGTTATAAGGAACACTGAATGTGACAGGATACCTTTGTCTTGTGAGCCTAGTGCCAAAAGTTCGTGCTCTGTTTCTAGGGGAGTATGTTACACAGCATGGTCAGGAGTCCATGACATGCCACACCCCCTCTTTCTGGCCCTTCTTTAAGAAAAAGAGGAGTGCAAAGTATGACCCAACTGTTTGTCTTGTGGGAGTGACAGAAAAAAAATCAAGGAGATTAGTATGACCTATTCACTCACTTTTTTGTTAGCCTCTTATTTCCTTCTCTTTTTAGCAAGGACATTACCCCTAAGTGACTAAAATGGCCACAAAAAAAATTAGAGGGGGTGAAAAAATGAGAGTCCCTGACAGTAAAAGGAGATGGGTAAGAAATCTAGAAATGTTTGCCAGCATATTATTTCTTCCTGGAAAGTTTGGAGAAATGGTCTGACCAACCCAGTCTCCAAACTTACTAGTTAGGTATCCACAAGGTAAAGAAGCACCAGTGGAATCACTTGTCCCAACCTTGTCAAGCCATCTGTATGCCATCTCCTGTGAAATCTGCCACACCCAAGAAGACACACTTAATGCTTAGGGTGGAGGCTGGGAAAAATTCTTTCTCTGTCAGTAAGTTATTCCAAAAGCCAGTCCTAACCTTATAAATGTGACCGACACCCCTGTGATGGGCACACTGGGTGGTGTATGGTAAGGCTACACAAATACTTTCTAGTGAGAGTCTGTGCACTGGAGCAGCTTATTAATGGCAGGTGGCTGGGGATTTGCAGTTTGGCAACACCATGGAGAGTTGAAATCTCACTACAGTAATTAGTGTTGACTTACCTCACTCGGCTTTCCAAAGAGCCAATTATATATATATATAGAGAGAGAGAGAGAGTTGTTGTTGTTATTTGCCATTGAATGACCCCTCCTTGGGTTTCTGAGGCAGTATCACTACGGAAGTAGATCACCCCATCTTCGTTCCGAGGAGTGGCTGGTGGGTTTGAACCTCCAGCTTTCTGGTTAGCGGTCAAGTGCCTTAGGCACTATGCTACCAGAGCTTATATATATATATATATATATATATATATATATAAAATGGAAAACTTAAAACATACAAAAGTAGAATTATGATATAATGGGTCTTCATGTACCTATCACCCAGCTTTTAACAATTACCAATACAAGACCCCACACTGAGCCATTTTAAAGAAACCAAATTATGTTTCAAAATAAATAATTAAAAAAATAATTTAAACATAATTTTAAAAAATTATGACATAATTTAAAAATAATTAAAAAAAAAAAAAAAAGCAGAGAGCAAATATGCCCTTTAAATCAGCACTTTGGAGTTAAAGCTTTGAGAGTCATCAGGGATGGAGGTTTGAATTGCAACCTTGGCACATGACTTTGGACAAGTTATTTTCTGGGCCTTACATCATTCATCTCTAAAATGTGATACCTCTTAAAAGCTTATAAAACCCAAAAAACCAAACTCACTGCCATCGTCGAGTCAGGTCCAACTCATAACAACCCCTTCTTGAGTTTCCAAGGCGGTATCACTGCAGAAGTAGATTGTCCAACCTTCCTGAAGATTAAATGAGATACATGAAACCTAAGTTCCCAGTAAGGGGATAGCTGCTGTTATTGCAGGTCTTGCTATTACTATTCTTTTAATGTTATTAGAATCTACAACCAAGCCAACGGTATGTGATCGCATGGGCAGTATCCATCAGGAATGAGGACGCTCACTAATTTTCTGGCAGGAAAAACCATCTGAAAACTTTTCCACATAAGGTTTTACATATAAAATGCTGAGTTATATGATGGATGAGGGAAATTCTAATTCGTCAGGTGTGCTTACTTAATGGTAAGTTTAGCTGTCATTTCAAGGTAACCCCTTCATTTTAGCTGAACTTAACTAATTAGCTACCTTCAAGGTAGAACTAGTTTCTACCAAAAAAACATTAAACACCTAATTGAGAAAAAGCTCTCCCTTTCCACCCAGTGTGCCCCTCTTTGCCTTGTCCTCAGTTTTGTAGATTTTGGTCTATTGTGTTCACTTTCTGTCTTGTGTCTACCTTATTTCATTTTTGATCTTAATGTTCTCCTTTTTCCACCTCTTACTGTGTCTGTCTCCTCTCTTACAAAAGGAGGCTCCTAAGCTTTTATGTTTTACAAGGGGCAAGTAGATTTTACAAACAGATTGTCCACAGAGAAAAACCTAATGGAAAAAAATACATATCCATACAGCCTGATTTGGGGAGCATGCATGCCCATCTTGCTGGAGTGTTTCCCCCCCCCCCTTTCTTTAAAAGCAGACAGGTGGTGGGAAAGGGAAACCAACCAGAAGAACCTGATCTGGTGACTTTTGTTCAACAGGTTGTGTGTAAGGTTAGAGACCAGTAGGCCAGAAGGACAGGGTAATTTTAATCTGGGAGATTGGGCAGTCACTGTGACAAGTGTGGCTTTTAGCCAAGGGTTCTTGAGTTTTGACCAGACAAGAATCTGATTGGGTTGATCTTCTAAGTTTCTTTTAAGGCGTCAGCACTTGATTTCTAAACAATTAACTGCCCTTTTATATGGTGAGATAATAGTTAAAATGGCCACCATTTATGGAGCACTTACTAGGTGCCACTCATCAAGCTAACTGAACACAGTCTCAGTTTTCCAGAACAACCTCATAAGGTAAGTGGATGACATTTCCATTTTGCAAAGGAGAAAATAAGATCCAAGTAGTTTAATAACTTGCCCACAATCAGACAGCGAGAAGATAACAAAGTTGAAATCCAAATGCACATCTCCGTAAGTACGGGGTGTATGATTTCCATTACACCTTTATTTTGCTTTGTCCTCTCTAACCCCTTTCAAAATATTATGTTTGAGTTGTAATTGTCATAATGGTGACAGTTCTGTTTTTATTTGTTGAGATTACGTTGGCCTAGGTTATGGACAAAGACTAGCATGGAATTGAGTGAAATTTGTTGTTAGCTATCATTGAGTTGACCTTGACTCATAGTGACCCCGTGCAGAACAATGCTGCCTGGCCCTACCTAAACTATCCCCATATAGATTGGACCATTGTGATCCAAATTCACTGGCTGATTTTCAGAAGTAGATCACCAGGCCTTTCTTCCTCATCCTTCTTAGTCTGGAAGCTCTACTGAAACTTGTTCAGCACCATAGCATACACAAGCCTCCACTGATAGGTGCTGGCTACACATGAGAGACCTCTGGCCAGAAATGGAACTTGGGACTGCCACATGGAAGGTGAGAATTTTACCATTGAACCAGCACTGTCCCCAACTGAAACTTAGCCACCATTTTTATAGACTTCAGCCTCCATTTGTTTGTAGTTGTAGTAACAAATGCTACTACCCTTCACCCCTTCAAACCTCCCTCTGTCGGCCCCTACCTGCTCCATATCATGTTATCCTATGGTAAGAGCTATGTTGTTCATGGGCTCTTTGTTCTACCATATCAAAAGACATACAGATCTCAAGAAACTTGAGAAATTATTTGGTTGATGGGTGACCAGA